GTCCTAGAAATCTGGCTTCCTACAGGCTGACCACCAGCACGGGTAACTTCCGCAGAAGCAGAGCAATGGGATCATCCCCACTTATTCCTGAAGCACACGTGTGGGAAGAAGTGATTTTAGCCTAAGAGCGTGTAGATCCTGTGTCAGTGAAGGCAGTTGCTCCATGCTTTGGCCACAGGACCTGCCCTGAAGTTTGCAGGTTCTCATTTCAGCACCCAGGAGTTAGTTACCCTAAATGCTTGCAAGATTAAGAAGAAAGGAAAGGAAAAACCCTTCCTGAAGGGACACCCAAAACGATAATTTTTCTGTCAGAAGACTGCTGTTTCACTTCAGATAAAGAGCTATTTTTGCAAGGCGGTCAAAAGGAAAGCAACTTGTCATGTTTTATGGCCTCTGTTGCCCCCTCCAGTCCTACATTAGTAGTTGGTGCTATTTGGAAAACAACAATCCTAGGAAAACCTGCACTTTAATAATAACAATGTCTCAGGGTCATCATTTGATATACATCTGACATGCATTGGAAGTGAAAATTGGGGCCAGAATTTCCTTTTCTGGCACAACCAATTTTCTATCAAAAAAGCAAAGCCTGTTTATAAGAGGAGTTTGCTTTACAGGAGCTGGAGTGAACTCGCACAGGAACTTACTTTCAGAACTTTCTGCTTGAAGTATAAAATGCACCTGTAACCTGTGAGCACATGCATGTGTGTAGAAAAAAATTACACTTAAGAATTGGTAAGCAAGTCCTTTTTTCTCTTTGATAGCAAACCCAGGGGCACACATGCTGATCAGATGTTTGTTCTTTAGTTGTACCCATCAGAGAGACCCTCAGCTTTACTGTCCTCGCAGAGGAGTGGGCTCAGCTATAGAAACAAACAGAAAAGCACTAAACCTGCATGTTTTTAAAGCCATGTCACTGTGGTAATAACCAACAAATACTATAATTACCTTATTTAATTGTCTACTGATTATTTTTTCAAGTTAGATAGACAGGGTACCTTCAGTAATTTCATATTGAAGAGTGTCACTTCCTTGAGGAGGCAGTTCTAGAGGCAGAGAGGGAGCCAAGAGCTAGTCATGCTACTCCCAGTTTGGGCAAGGGGAGCAGGCTGTAGAGATTTATACCTGGATGAAGCAGACAAGGGCAATCTCTCCCACAGAGATGTCTGCCTCATGTAAGGACACAAAGGAAAAGAACTCAGTACAGAAATGACACATTTCATTGACCCTTTAGTGTCCAAAACAGTTTTTTTCACTGAGTTCCTCCAAGTAAGCTTTCTAAGTGAAGGCAGATTTAGAAAGGCAAAAGCACTCTTTCCTCCCTTCAGAAGCTTTGCTGTGTGCTCCTGCCATGCTTCATGGACTGCATCCAAAAGATCAGATCTGTCAGCTGCTGTACTCCGGAATTGTCCGGCCAGAAATGACAGTGCGCTGGCGTCTAGTGCTTGTCTGCCCCATGACCTGGTATGGAACAGGAGTTGGACAGAAGTGGTCACATCTTTTCAAAGGATTTAGAAATTAATAGGTAGAATTTTCTCTCTTTGAAATAAAAACTGGGGAGCCCAGACACCTGGGCTACAAAGGTGCTTTAAACTGGGAACTAGAAAGGCCAGGTGACCAAGGTGGTGGCAATCAGGACCATGCGTCCCTGCAACGGCAAAGAACAAAGTCTGACCAACATCCACCCCACACACATTCCTCTTTCCAAAAAAAAGCTTGGGGATGCATTTCTTTCCCATTTTCTTTAGGTTTAAGTTCACTGTCCCATTTCTTTTAGCCCACTTGATGGCTTTGCAAGTTTGAAAGATTCCCAGCAAATTGCACACAATCAGTTATGACAGCCACACATGGCAAAAGCTGAGTACTCTGTCTTTCCTATTGTCCATGAGTAGGATCCTTACCAGTTAGTTTTTGTGATAATAGAGACCCATGTGGGAGCGCCACACATTCCAGCATAGCCCTCCAGTGGGACTGGAAAAGGTAGTTTGGAAATGATGAGGTTAAATAGATGAAAGTGTACTTACTGAAAGCATATTTTAGCATATAAGTTTTTTAACTTGATGCTAGAGAAAGGATGATTGCCAGATTGACAGTTAAGAAAAATATCATTATAACTGACAACTGAATAAACAAGGAATTAGCAAGGTAAATCTGGAACTCTGATATACCCAGGCTTATGCTATCATTCCAGAATAGAACAGGTTACTCAGAAAAAAAAAAGATTTTCAAGGAAAATTAAAACAATTTTTAAAATAGCCTTTGATGTTTAAAATGCATATAATTAATGACAAAAGTTTTCAAAGATACAGTTGGATTAGTTCTGCTTGGATTGCTTCTTATTCCTGTGATTCTCTATCAATCATGAAAGCAAAAGAAGAAATTAAATAATTCATAGAGTAAAAACGGTTATCTGCACCAAAATTAGAGATGAACTTTTACCAATTACTTGAATGATCAGTTTTCTTATTGCAGGCACTGTGGAGTCAGACCTTTTATCAAGTGCAACAGACACTGCACTTACACATATGCCTAGTACACCAAATGTTAATCATTTTGAGTAGCACAAGCACACTGCAGAGTAAGGGAATTCTCCTCTGCAACCTGCTATTCCAGTCTTATGGATGAGAGAAAAGTGCTTTTAATCCCTGTTGAAAGGCTGGAGATCTCAGGCTTGTACAGCTTGTCACTATCGAGATACAGTTTGAGTGCTTGACAACGCAACTTAATACCTGTTTTAAACTGGCCTAAGTAGGGGCTGCCCTGTGGAGGGTAAGTCATCTTCTCTTCTGTGTGTGTTACTACTGGTGCAGCAAATCAGACCAAAGAACTGCCTGAAGCCTTCACAAAGCTCCTACCCAAAGCTTAGTAAAACCCTGGGGCAAGGGAGCAAGGGGTTGGTGTAGTTTTCAGCAGGATCAGCCCCTGATTTATCTCACCGTTCATCTGAACAGCTCTTATTCCTGACACAGGCTGAGGGAGCAAAAGCACACATAGACTGTGTATCCACATAGAGATTTTGTCAGCCACAAAGTCCATGAACAACCCTCATGTGGATGACCCACTGGCAACCAGGGGAACACTTCCTGGGACTGGCTGTGCACCTCAGCATTTCTTCCTTCAGTCCTGTGACTGAGAAACCATGGTGGTCTGAGAACAGATTGCAAAAGACAGATCTTTCTGTATAGCAACTAAAACAGATACAAAAATATTCTTGGCCTTCTTACTTGATTTAAAAAAAAAAGGAAAAAATGCAGCTGTAAAACCTAGCAACTTGTTTTTTTAACTTGAAACCCGTGTTTAAACAAGCATTGCTGTTTAATTCATATGCTGCAAGGATTTCCACTTCTGCCTGAAAATTCCTAAATGTACAGTCTTACAGCGATAATCCATTTTTAAAAATAGGTAGCTGAGGCTATTCCCCAGAGGCAGAAGCTTGTGGATTTACAGTGAAACTGATTCCAGTGCAAGAAAAAGGAAACAGATATTCAGGTTCACCTGATATGCACAACAGCAGTGACAATTTCTCCACTAATAAAAGACATGACGCAATTAGATTGCTAACCTTTCCATTTCGGGAGTTTATCAAGAGGCCAGGACTTGAAATTAAATGAGAGGAATCAGAGCTAAATTCTATTACAGAATTCTCCTATCTCTACTTTTGTCTGAAGCTCTCTTGAGAAAGACCACCCGCCTCAGACCTAGGTGCAAGTTGCCTTGTTAGAAAAGCTTTGTTATTATAATAAAAGGTGAGTGAATAATGTGAAGGAGCATACCTGTGAAAGGTATCACAATTGTAACTAACTGAAGTGGGATAGGAAAAAGGCTCAGGAGGAACTGAATTAAACAAATAGAGGTTTGCACTATCTTCTGGTATCATGTAGTGGGTGCTAAAAGACAGCAGGGCCAGAGCACAACTTACGAGCTGGGATTAGAAAAGCAAGAACAGTTGGCAAATAGAAAAGCAAAAAAGAAAGCCAAGGACAGTAGGAAGAAAACATGCCAAACAGGGACTCAAAAATGGGAAACAAAACTGATGTTTTTCGCAGTGAGCAACATGACACAATTTCTACTGCCTTTTAAATAGATTTGAAAACTCTACCTATTACAGGGTTTGATCCATTTTACAGAGAACACAAAGTCCAAGCACTACGCAGATACAATTTGAAAGTAGCCTCAGCCTAACAGGCACATGAAATGCCAAGGGGAAAAATGGAAGAGCTCCCCCAGGTTTAAGTCTTCTGCCATTTGAAGATGCTCACTGGAGCACATGGAGTCTGTGTCACAGTGAGGATCCTCCATGCATTGGAGGTGAGTAAGCTCTCAGGTCAGTGACAAAGAAAAACATTTGCTGTTATTCTCTGAATCATCTGCTATCCTGTACTAAGCACTTTAAAACCACTTCTTGTGACAAATCAGGCAAGTATCACGGAGCACCCAATCTAATGGGGAACCTGGAACTCTTCCCAGGCTCCAAGTGTACCCAACGCTGTAAATGGGCAGACACTAGAAAACCACAGCTCACACACTGAAAATTCATTGCAACAGTGATTCTTCTCCACACACATCCCAGAGAATCTCTGGCAAGTATTTTTCTACTAAACCAGCCAACTTTCCCTTCAAGGGATACAAAGTACAGGAGATGTTGAGAAAGAACTATGAAGACAATAAGGAAAACCAAACAATATTGTGTAAATATTTAACATGCTCTTCCCAAGCACTACCAAGCTATATGTAAATGTCCATGTATTATGTAGAGGCAGGGTAATCTGGCTTCACTGAGAGCTGAAGGGGAAGGAATAAAAACAGAGTAGTGAGGATTTAAGGAAACCTGAAATCTAAGATAACAATACCATTGGCAAAGAGTATAGCAGCTTCTCTTCTCTAGACCAGCCTCATACATTTAATTTTGGTGTTGTTCATCTTCGAGACCAGCCAGCCCCATCATAATAATACGTTCACAAGCCATCTTTTCCCCCTGATTCTTAACCAGGACACGAGGAAGGTTCCATTTAAAAATCATTTTATTATTAACATAATCTTCCCATTTAGCCAAGTGTGGGTCATGTATAAGGAATGTCGGTAAATATTCCATTTGCGGCTTCTTTTTACATATTTCCATTGATAAATAAACTCTGAATTCACATAAAAAAGTTAAACTTAAATAACTAATATATTTTTTTGTAACAGGCATACATCGTAAAATATAAATATTCTTGTACTCAGCCTTTGCTCTAGATAACAGTTAGCCACACATCACAGTTATTAACAACTAAAACCAAGAACTCAACTGATTTTCTGGCCTGGACTAAAATAGAGATGGAAACAGAAAATTCACATTTTGACTTTAGGCCAAAAGAGATTGAGAGGCAGGAAGAGAACAGTTTTATTAACAGCCTTGTTAAAAATAGTCTGCTCTGCCACTGAATTTTAACTTATTCTACAATTGGTAGTCAATTCCATTATAATTTTATGTAACACTCAAGTATCACTAACAAAATATGGCACATCATCCATGAACAACATAATGATGTTTTAAAACTACCAGGGCAAAACCGCAGGCGATATGAGTGATTTGGCTCTGGCTTCACCATTCCATCCTCTCAGTCCGACATTAATGTGTTGTGTCACCTCACTGTTTTGGCCACTTGCCTGCCAAAGACCTAAAGGTTCTTTGCTCTAAAGGTTCTCAAACTACACCAGTTACCAGGCAGTCTGATACACTGGGTCTCCTCATCCAGAAGTCAGACCAAAAATCGTTTGATCAGGATGCCCTGTCAAAGGACTCTGGGAATGATGGTGAAAGGAACCACAGGACTGCTCGCTTCAAGCTCCAGTGCCGTCAGGAAGCATTCAGTTGCAGCATCATCATTGCCTTGAGCCTGTAGCACCTCTCCCAGGCTGTTCCAGACCTCGTGGGCTGTAGAGTTGACCTGGACGGCATCTCTGAGAATCTTCTCTGCCAAGCTATAGCGCCCGAGTTGGTGAAGTATCAGAGCCTGTAAGAAAACAGAGGGAAAAGAGTTGAGATTGGCCAGTAGGGCTTTCATGAAGCTCAAATGATTTGTCACAACAGTGAAATAAGAGTAAGCAGCTCTGTGGCTCAAAGTGTTAGAGACTATGTTATTTATTTATTTATTTATTTATATTAAAGAAAAGAAATTACTTGATGCAGGACTGGAGCAAGCTACTCCACACAACAAGGAGTCAAGTGGTTTTAGATAGGAAACAAAACTGAATAACAAAAACTCCACCAACCGCAAAAAATCAGTAAGAACCAGAGCTTTTGCAGCAAGCTCCAGTTATCCAAAGTCCTACTAAGGTGTGTGCCCTGAAATGTTCCTATCCTACCTGTGCATCTCAGCAACCACCTCATGTCTGATAACATCTGAGACCACACACACAGCACCATAGGCCCTCAGGGATGGCAGTAACAGGACTCAGTTCAGCCCAATGAGCAACAGCCACGGTACTTGGAATGCACCTGGTAAACAGGAAGTGTTCTCGGACAAATATCGCATCAGTAATGTATGAAGGACCAGCAGGCACATAACTTCCTCAGGAGCTTCCCTGTCACAGATTCTTTATCTTTCTCTGTGAGTTGGAATCCAACTCACCAGTACATGATCCCAGAGCATGTCCAAACCCACTAGGATATGCGCTGAATGAGGCAGTGGAAATCTCCATCCATCACATTCAGCTATGTTACTGTGCCAGAAATGTCATGGAATGACCCAGTAAGAGAGCTTTGTTCTGGGATTATAATAATCCTAAAGATATTATGCATTTTTACATTGTGATTCTGTATTGCAAAATGCACATGGAACACAAATCTTTGTTTTCCAGAGAGGCATCCTGATTACATGCTTACAGAGTCCTTGTGACTTCTCCCCTCCAAGCCTCTACTTCCTGGACCACAGTTTCTTTTATCTCTCTCTGTACATATGTCCCTCAAATCCTTATTAACCCAAGCACTGATGATTAGAAAGTACTGACATTCTATGCAGCCTCCGAATTATCCACCATACATTTTTGGAATTGTGCCCACTAGGCTGACTTGAAGACTGCTAACTCCATCCTGGAGAACATCTCAGCAGGCTGTGCTCTGAAGAACAATATAAAGAGTGCTGTATAGTATTGGTAAGTAAACAAATAAATGCAATGCAGGCTAATTTCTATCAGCCTGGCAGATGTTCTCACATAAAGGTGCTAGAGGGATTTTCTGGTTTTGGAATTTTTTTGAGCTGTCAATTGAGTCAGCATTTACAGAGGAAGTAAACAGTACTTCCAGTTCAAAAATCAGATAACTCTCAGGGTCAGTGAAGTGATTGTCAGGTATCAGATGTGAAGTACAAAAAATGAAGCAAAGAGATGGAATATATAAAGCTGCTTTGGCTGCAATACACCTAACCTTAATAAAATTTAAGTGTTCTTCAAGATTCTGTATTTTCAAAAATCTTGCTTTTTCGTGTGCAGATATGTATATTTTATACTAATGAAACATGCGAGATCTTTGAATATTGGTAATACTTTTTTTCTTAAATATGCCAGACTAGTTTCCCTCCTTGCTAAGGATACAAGCTGCTCTTTTCAAGACCAAAGAAAGCAAGCAAATTTTACAGATATAAGCCTGTTCATAGGAAGAGACACGTTACATCACATCTGCCCTATTCTGTACAGCAAAAAGTATAGCTGAGCTTTTCCAGGTGACAGAACTAGGGCAAATACTAGCTGTTTGCCTGCTGTTACACTTTTCTAAGAATATTAGTGTTGAAATTAGCAAATTAGCATTAATGAAGGAACCACTCTTGCATGGGCAATCAGGTTGCATCCTGTAGCCTCATGTTTTGAGGGCACAGCTTTCTCAAGGGAGCAACTCCCGAAAGTCAGTCTTTCACTGGTGTCTCAGGCTGGGATGGTATGAAGATTCCTGCCTCAGGTAGCAGCCCTGGGACAATGAGCTTTGCTTCCAAAGAACCAGTAGAGAGAAATTTAGACTTGTTCCATGCAGAGCTTCAAAAGGACAGTGACATTTGGTCACTGTAGCTGTGGCTAAGCTCAAAGAAGCGATCTAGAGAAAGAATGCAAAATACCCTCTGATTCATCAACTCTCTCTCAGAATGATGGTCAGATGTCATATATTGTAAGTGTCCAGCTTGTACATCCCCTTCCTGGATGACTTCTTTAAAAATACTGAGGCGCGGAACATTTCAAATTGTTTGCAGTCCTTGCCTGACTTTGCTGTAATAAGCATTACAGTACAGATCACAGGGAGAAGGAGAGGCATGTCTATCACACAGCAATATCCTTTTGTGACCCCACACCATTACCCATGCAAGAAAACAGACTTCCAGTTTACCAGCTGTCAGCATACGCTTGCTTTTGGTACCAAACCCTTCAGGAAAAAAACAAACCACTAAAACCAACAATACCACCCAACTAACTCCCTCTCCTTCCCCCCAAAAACCAAACTCCTCTCTTAGAGGAGACTTCCCAAAAATCAAAACAAATTATCCTAGTCCTCCACTGTGTATTTTCCTCTGCTTTCCAACTGGAAACAAAATCTCCAAGTTACCAGTTCTGGCCTTTACCTATTCAGCAGCAGATGTACAGACAACATTTATCTGCAGACTAATGTTAGGTCTCTTGCTTTATGGCTGGAGATGGGCTTAAGCAACACATCAGGTCTGCAGAAACAGAGGGATACCTAAGTGACATATGGTTCACACCTTCAGCCTTCGCAGGTTAGTTTAAAACCTAAGCAGAATGCCATCTCCCTACATCCTCTTTAAAACCAGAGACATAATCTTTGAAAAAATAATATGATAGGGATTTTGGAACTTGAATCAATTAGAAAAAGTGCTATACAATAATTTGTGTAAATAATAAGAAATATAAATAGTAAGAAACATCCATTCTACAAAATATGCTAAAAACAGTTCCTAAGGTATTACAGAAATCTAAGGTAATCTAGTTGTTCTTTCTACATTTTAGAATGCTGCAGTATTTGACAGATATGTTTAAGACATCTGTTGGCATCCTGCTAAGAGAAAGCAGGATCTTTCCTATTATTGCATCTCTTTCACATGGAAGAAAAGAAATTTATGACATTTGCTTCTAACACAGTTATAAAAGCCTCTAATGTGTGTGGGCTTCTTCATTTTTTGCAGCTCAGTACAAATGTTGCTTATTACTTCACTCCATGTTTGGTTTGCTGAGAATGCTGGGGTTCTTTGTTTTGTTTTGTCAAATCACTGATCTCTTAGTGTGTTAAGGCCTCCACTTTGTCTTTATGTTGTAAACTCTCTAAGCCAGTTCTACATTGTAGAGGTTGATTTCGTAACTCAAAAAAAACTCCAAGAGAAAAGTCTAATCAGAAATGGCACAGGCAGAAAGTGAAGGGAATCTCTGAAGAAACGAAGAGACTTTTTTGTGCCATCATCACAAGAAGTGAAAGAAGTGCTTCATGTCTCCAATCCGCTGATATTTATACCAGTCACTTTGAATAATCAGCAGTACTCGAAGATTTGTGGAGTTCAGATGCTCTCTGCTCAAGGAAAGGTCAACAGCCCTTTACAATGCCCAGGCCACTGCTGGGGATTAGAGCTGGGAGTAACAGAGACTTTGCAACTCCAAGAGCCTCCAGAGGCTCTCAGAAGGGGCTTTCTAAAAGAGTATCACTGTGTGCTGCCTGCAACAGGGAGGTACTGCAGTCACTATAAACAAGGTTCTACATAAATTTCACATCCCAACAGAACAAAATCCCTTAGGAATTAATAAAAATGGGGGGAAAAGTGCTTCCAATTTCTGCCACAGGATATTTTTAAGATCTTACCAATTGTTTCCTCACCAAGTTTGGAGTCACAAAGTCTCCCTCTCGTTGGTCAACAATTTTACGTGTCTTTCCTCCCCCAATCATCCCCTTTACACTTCATTTTACATTGCCCCACTTACAAAACTGCCACCGTTGCTTCTTTCACCCAAGCATCTGTTCAAGGACTGTTTTTACAATGCTCAGTCAAACAAGGCCCAACCCCTGACTAAAGGCCCTTGACGCTGCTGGTAAAACAGGAGTAATTTGTTATTTATTACTCAATATCTCCTAGACACCTACACAGATACAGCCCAGAAAAACAGCTATTGAGTCTGAATAGACAGAAGTATCTTAATGTATCATTCAAAACATTTGGCTGAATAACCTTCATTTATACTTATCTTACTTGCATTAAGGAACGGGGATTGTATCTTCTGTATTCTGGATACTCTCTTGGGACTAATCATGTTCTGTGTTTTAATTAATGACACATCACAGGAATCATGATACAATTAGATAAGCGGAAGCTAAGAGGATACAATATAGAAAGCAACAGGCTGATCATGAGAACTAGGATAACAGAAATATTGCAGGAGTCAGTAAAACAAAGCAGCAAAAATAACACAACAGTAACACAAGTTCTGCAGCATGGTGGAAGCCTGTCAATCAAACAGCTTGGGAGATGGACCTGGTTTTATCAGGCAACCACAGGATGACAGTGTGAAAATGTGCCAGTTCAAAAGAAAAAAAAACTCAAGTGACATCAGGGAAAGGTTTCCACTAGAAAGAGAATAAGACTTCAGCAGCTGTGCAACACACAGCTACACTAGGGCCTCCTCTGGCACCTTGGGCAGTCTCTTCTATTCAACAAAGGTCATTTAAACTGGAACAGACACAGAAAAATGACTATTGAAATGATCAATAAAAATGTGAATTTACAAGAAGAGACTAACAGACTTGGTTTGACTAACCTAGAAAATCAAAACCTGAGAGGAAATGAAGGAACTTGTTATAAAAACAGTAGAAAGAACAGAATAGAGAAAAACCTTTTTAGTTAGAGAATAAAGTTGGCACAAGAATACATGAGTATAAATTTGCAGTAAGTTTACCAAAACATTCCTGGTAATTGGAGTACAGAGGTTTTGGAACAGCATTCTACTTGCAGTCGCAGGGTGTAAACCAGTG